TTCAGGTCAGGACTATAGACATTACAAAACCATAAATAAGTCCCCCTGTCCCAACACATCTAACAGCCATTTTATGATTCCTCACACTGCCACCAAGAGGGCTGTCTGTGTAGTCACAAGGCTCTGGCCTTAGGCTGCTGTGTGTGTGTGTGTATATGTGTATGTCTGTGTGTGTGTGTGTATGTCTGTGCATGTGCGCGTGCATGAGTGCACGCGCGTATGTGTGCACATGTGTGTGTGTGCATGTGTATGTGTGCATACATGTGTGTGCGTGTAACAGTCCAGAAGACAACCTTGGCTGTCATTCTTTAAGATAATTTTTTCTTCTTGTCCCAGATTTACTAGCCACAGTGTAACCATGTTCTCCCTCACACACCCGAGGTGGGTTTGAGTATGATCCAGCCTGTCCAGAGCAAGTCACCCCTCTCCACCCCTGGGGCTTGTTGTCATTGCTAATGGTGGTAGTGTTTGCTGGTGGTGGCCGTGTTTAATATTTATGAAGCCTCCCCAGGAAATGTTAGCTGTTGCCTTAACCTTAATGAGTTTCCAATTGAGGAGGCCGAGCAGCCGTGGCCCCCCTTATTTCCTGCGCTGCCTTTGTGTTGACATTCCCTGGCCCATAAGTTCTAGGTCTAACATGTTGCACACTTAGACTGGAGGCCGAGCTGGAGGATGAATTGCACATGGTGAAAAGACCCAAGGGCGGGACCTGAGCTGTCGCCTCACGGCAGCACACAAAGGAGGCACTGAGCCCTGGGTGACTGTGGGCCCTGACATTGTTCATGTGGGAAGCCACCCGTGGGGACTATTCCTGAGCAGTGTGAGCCCCATGTAGAGTCCAGAGGTGGAATATGACAGCTTTCTAGTCCCCATCCCTGGTCCCACCACACTCTCTTTCTCACTTTTTACAAGTTCTTTGAGAATTTTGTACAGTCCATTTTGATGCTATTGACCTCACCCCTCCACCGCCCCCAGATCAACCCCACCTTCCCTACCCACCCAGCATTTTGTGTCTCCCCCATCCCCATTTTAAAAACCCATTGGATGTGCCGCCCATATACTCTTGGATGTGTGGTCTTCATTGGAGAGTGGTCCCCACTAGGGACCACACCCCTAAAGAAAACTGTTCCTCCTTCTCCTATCAGCTATCAACTGCCAATAGCTCTTTAGCTAGGGTGGGACTTCATGCCTCCCCCCACACACACACACATATGTCTACCCAACCCTCCACCCCTGCCTACACTCATACATGCTGGGATTTTGTAGCTCTTGTCCATGCCTCCATCACTGTGAGCTGATTTATGCAGTTTCTCTGAAGTTTCCTAACAGCCAGCCACTACTTGTGGCTCTTACAACCCATCTTTCTTGACCCCTCTCTCACCATGTTCCCTGAGCCTCAGTAAGGATACCGTAGCGGCAAGGGACAGGCAGACAGCCTCATCCTGGTCCCAGAGGAAGGCTGTGGTGGCTACAGCAGCTTCAATCTTGGTGCTCAGTCTGTCCCTCCAAAGGGCCTCCCCTGCGGCCAGCCATCCTTACTGGTCCAGGCAGTTTATCTCCTCTTTGTTTGGGGCTAATAGCAGACACTTACTAATGATATTCCAGGCACGTGGGCATCTTGTCTTAATTACCTTCCTCATTTGCATCTTTGGTGGAACACCTGGGGGAAGAGATCTCGTTTTAACTCCCTCCCTTTCCCACCAGCAGTCCCCTCCCTCCATCTGTTGATTCTCTGATTTACGCTCTTTCTGCGTGTGTAATCTAGCTTGGCTTCTCATCCCTCCGACTCCTGCAGATCATTTGCCATCTTTGAGCACAGCAACAAAACCTTTTTCTCCCTTATTACCTATCTCTCTCCCTTGTTTGGTCCCACGGGAACCCGAGCTAGCATTGTGTCTCCCTTCCTTGGGTCTGCCTGAGAACAGTAAGGAAGGACCTGCCATTCTGGAAACCATCCCAGAAAGTTGTCTCTCTAGTGGACGGCCCCCTGCTGGTGGTCTGCCTTAGGTGTCTAGCATGCTGGGGGGTGAAGCGCTCTGTCTGCAGGGAATGGAGCTGTAGAAGCTGGTGTTTGCTGCCCAAGCAGCCACGCCACATCCGCTGGAAAACAAAACAAACAAAACAAAAAACAACCCATGAGCCCAGGCAGCAAACTGGGTATCAAATGGCATTCTGGGAATGCTAACAGATGGTGATGTGGCTTCCAGGCCAGTCCCCACCCCTCCACAGCTGGGTCACTTTGCTCATCCTTTTTGTCCCACCCCAATGCATCAGTGAGGTTGCATACGTCTAAGTGCTGGGGCTGTGTGCTGAACCACTCTCTTAGGGGGTTGGTAATTCTGCTTATTAACTTATGTGCCGTTGCTTTAGGCTGCTCTGTGATTTACATTAAAATGACTAATTAGAAAAAGAACCATTAACAGAGGAACCAAACAGCTGTTGTTTATGGCTTTAAAGAACAATATCCCCTTGCTGTCCCCCAAAGGAAAATATGCAAGACTGGGGTCAATAAAGGCGTAGTCCCCTTCCCGGCTTTGGACACCTGTCCCAACTGGCCAGAGATCATGGGGAAGATCCCTGTCCCAAAAATCCAGTGTTACCCATGGGAATGGGTTGAGTATCTCAGCCGTGTTGGTGTACCCTCTGGCAGAGGACAGCAGCCTAGTAAGTTCTGGGTGGCATGAAGTTGAAGGCTGGCTTGGATGCCCTCCAGCTTGGTTTTCTTGGGGGTATGGTGTGGGCAACTCTGCAGAAAGAGGCTACCCAGAACTTTGGCCATCCCCACCGCAGCTTGCCTGAGTAGCGTCTGACATCGTGGTAGTAAGTCCATCCATTCCTGTCCCATGTGGGAGCTTCAGACACATCAGGAAGATATTAATATCCCGTATGTCTGGCCCCTCTGCCTGATATTATGGCTTCCGATCCAGGTGGGAACATCTGGAAAAGAGGAGGTAGAACAGACAGCTGAGGGGGCCCAAGCTCTGTCTCTCAGAACCATAACTTAGCTAAGCCAGCCCCCTGTCACCTTTGTCTGCTCCAGAGCCTGGAGATGACAATCCCTGACATAATTCACATATAAGCCTGGCATACCGAGAGTCATCAGCCCCCCACTTCAAGGAAAAGAACCCCAGAGGGTGAGGATTTTGAAACAATGCCCTAGTGGGGAAACCATTATCATCATGGAAGAAACACTTGACAAGTGAGGAACTGGAACTGTAGACCTTTGTGAGCCACCATGCGGGTACTGGGAATCAACCCGGGGTCCTTTGCAAGAGCAACAAGTGCTCTAAACAGCTGAACCATCTCTCTAGCCCCATGAATGAAGTTTTAATGAACTCGGTTTTGAGGGCTAGGTGTACAGCTCACGGGTAGAGGGCTTGCCCAGCCCTGGCAGGACTCTGGATTCCATCCTCAACAGTTAAAAAAAAAAAAAAATCAATATGGATGAATCTGGTGGCCTCGGCCTTGACTTAGCCGCCTTCCTTCTACCCTCCAGCTTGTGGGAAGAAGTGACTTGTCAACTTCTGTGGCCTGCTGTTATGTATAGGATGTGTTCTGGGGATCCAAGACTGAGAAGCCCCCATGTAGCTATGTGGTCTTAGGAAGAAACCCTCCCTTCCAAACATGTGACTTCAGAAGCTAGGAATGACCCAGGCATCACTCCAGCTGGGAACTCCAGATTTCCTCTACTTTGAAAGGTCCTAGAACTCCGAACTCTAGGGTTAAGATATTTGGTAAGAAGCAGAATTCCAAATTCTCAACCAAGTGGCTTACGACGACACAGGGACCATGTAAGAGACTCACACATGAAAGGGGCCCAAAGAGAGAAGTGAGGCCCCAAGGAGCCATTAATGTCTTAGCAGGGTTGTTGGGCTCCAACACCCCCCACCCCAGGATAGCATCTTGCTGAACCTACTGGTTCTTAAGTGGACTCTGTCCCTCTAATGGGACAGCCCAGCCTACTTAATCTGTGTGCTTCTAGGGCCCCATTGTTCTGTTCCTGTGTCTTTGACCCCCCCCCCAACTGAACAGAGCTCAAAGAAAGAAACAAGACATCCACAGGAACAGTGAATCCTGAAGAAGCACCAGCTACTCTCGCTCACTAGATAGTGCCTTTCTCATTCAAATAAGATAAAATGTTCCAGTGTAGCCCAAAAGGTCCTTGGTTTTGACCCAGACAAGTACTGGGAATTCTTCCTTCCTGGACCCCAGGAGCTTCACCTCCTCCACCAGGGGCTGTTACCATTGATACCGGTTCTTGCTCTGGCCCAGGAGATACAAGTGCAATAACATCAGGGAGAATAACATAAAGGAAGGGTTCTAGCTTTCTGCTTGCTCCTTGCACAGATGCAGTTCAGAGGTACAGTCTACCATGGTGGAGGAGGCATGCTGGCAGGAGCCTGAGGCAGCTGGTTACATGACGCCCTCAGTCAGAAAGCAGAGGGAGACGAAGGCATATGCTCTGGCGGCTTTCTCTTTTTCATTCTGAGACCCCATGGAAATGCGCAGCCCAGATTTAGGGTGGCGCCCAGATTTGGGTGGCCCTTTCCATCTTGATTAACTTAATTGAAATACTGTCTCTGTTCTGGGCATGGCAGCTCAGGCATTTATCTGTGAGTTTCAGAACGGCTGGGACTACATAGAGAGACATTGTCTTAAAAATGAAAGAAGGAGGAGGAGGAAGAGAAGAAATAATGCCTTACAGATATACCCAGAGATTTATTTCCATGGGAAATTTAAATCCTATCATGTTGCATGTTGGCCGTCAATATTCTCCCCCCACTCTCTTACACACACACACACACACACACATACACACACACACACACACACATCAAAGAGGAGGCAGACTGGAGTTTTTGAGGGTAGATTACAGATACCACCGTTACATTGACTTTCTGTTACTTGCAGCCTAAAGCAGCCCTACCAGATACAATGATGGCAATCTGTGTTCCTCGTCAGAAATGATTCCTAATCTCTGTGTCTTGTGTCTATTTCAGAGGGTCTTGCTGTTGGTGTAGGATTTGGAGCAGTAGAAAAGACCGCATCTGCCACCTTCGAGAGTGCCAGGTAAGCCATGGGGCCTGGAGTGTGGGCCTCACGCCTCTCGGGTCTCTGCTCTTGGTACCTGGGCCAGCTGCCGGCACAGGGTTGCTAAGCATCCTCAGCGCATCATGGCAAGAGTAATGAGGCTAGAGGAAGTCCGTGTGTGAGTGAAGTACTCAGTCAGGTGAGTGGGCTTGTGCCATCGTACCCACAGAAGGCAGCTCGCAGGTACTCTGTAAATGAAGCCAAGATATAGCTGCATACTGTACCTAAGCGCGTGAAACGTATGAAGACTAAGGAGAAGGGTTGGGAAGGGTGGCGATCGATCAGTGCTCTGTATGGCTCCTTCCTTCCGGAAGTCTTTTTCTCCCGTCGTTGCAGTTTCCTGGTCTCCCCATTTTTAGACTCTCTTCCCAGAAGGCTCCCTCACCTGTTTCTCACACATCGACCCTGTCTTAAATGTCATCGTCCAGAAGTCTGTCCCTGGAGCGTCCTCTCTTTTCATGCCATGCACACTCCCCAGGCATCCTCCTCCATTCCCGTGACCTGTTTTCCATCCACTTGCTAGTGATGTCCACATCCAGCTCCAGCCAAAACCTGAGCTCCTTCCTACAGGACCGCCTGCCTTCAGATACCTCTGCACATGCGTTTCATAGCTCTCCACGCTCAGCACCCCAAATCTGAGCTTTACTGTCACCGTCTCTGTCCTTGGGCTTTGTCCCTCCTTCAGGGCCACCTTCTACCTTCTCGCTGTCTACCAGCCAAGCTAAGACCACTGTCATTGTCGTCATCGGATTTTCCCTCTTCTTTAGAGCATCAGGCCTTCTTCCTCTCACCTAAATCCATTCACATGATGTCCTTCAGACCTCTTGTGATAAGAGCCACAAAGCCCACGTACACTCACAAAGCTGTGACCACTCCGTCCTCCAGGCTGAAGGCCAGCAGGACGGAGCCTCTCATCCAAGGGCCACAATCTCGGCTGCCTCTAGGGGACCAGGGTTACAAGGACAAGTGGGAACAAGGGGATGGAGATAGCTGGGGGTGGTGAGCATCGAGAGAGTTTAAGGTACTCACTGTGGTTGAAAACTTAAGGACTGGAGAAGTAGCTCAGTCCCTAAAACACCCCCTGTACAAGAATGAAGATCTGACTCCGGTCCCCAGAACCTGTAGAGCAGAGAAGCTGGGCAATGTGGTACATACTGGTAATCCTGGTTCTAAGGAGGCGGAGACAGGAGGATCCCTGGGGCTAGCCCACCAGCCAGCCTAAGGCCAATGAGACCAATGAGGAAGGAAGGGAGGGAGGGAAGAAGGGAGGGAGGAAGGGCAGGCTTTTAGAATGTAAGGAATATCACCCCCCCACACACACATACACACACACACAAAAAAAAAGAACCAAGGGCTAATAATGACATCCCACAGACTGCCCTGCTCCCATGTCCCCTGGGCATAATCAAATTGGACTTGACTTCATCAGACCATGAGAACCTCCAGGGTCAAACAGTGTCCCTGGGTCTGAGAGCCCTGGGGAGCTGACCTTATGAGAATTCAAAGGCCAACTCTCCCAGAACATGGGAGACCACATGTGCCCCCATGAGGTCATGTGTCTGTAAATGACAGCCAAGCCCCAGGCACTGTCCTCATAGGCCAGGCTCTGTCTGGTGGCCCCACGCTTCCATGACATCTTGATATCAACTCCAATATCCCTCTCATGAGAAGAAAGGTCATGGCCAGCGAGAGTATGTCCCTTTGGCTGCCACAGTTGTAGGGAGGAGAGCTTGATGAACCGCAGGTGGAAAGGCGATACCTGTGATCTTCGATGCTGTAGAGGCCAAAGCAAGGCCACAGTCAGGCCTCTTGAGTGCTTGTTTATGCAGTGAGGTCGAGGGAGACGACTTCTGGTTGTCTCCTCGTGTGGGCCCTGTTGAGCCACTGCCACCTGTGGAGTCTAATGAAGAGGGCTGCAGGAACATCCTCATGCCATGAGACCCTCCAAGGCCCCACCTTGGATTGCCACCTGCAGCTTTCGAATGGTTACAGTAGGTCCACCCCCCCACACACACACACTTGTTAGTTCTCTCTTTGTAAAGAAAGGAGACTGTAGTCAACTGTAAGACAGTAAACACAACCATGCTTCTTAGAGGAGCTGCTGGGGAAATCAAGATGTCTCCAGTGTTGGACAGGGCAGCAGGAGGTGGACTGTGGTGGCCGGGAGTTACAACACTGAGGTGGGGACTCTGCACCTGCTTCCTGTCTGTCCCCAGGCTCTGGGCTCACCCAGTGCTTCATCTAGGGTCTCCTGGAAGCTGCACATGCTAAGTCCAAGCTTTCTTGTTCTACATTCGTTCTCATTCACTCATTCATTCATTCACTCATCCATGTGTACCTCAGAGAGCACCAGTGCATCCCCCACACTATTCCAGCTGCTGAAAAGAACATAGTTTATGTAAAAACCTTCTAAGAGGCATGGAAGTTACTCCGGTCCTTTCAGTAACAGGGTAAACTCAGCTGGTATGGATGGTCCTTCTCAAAGAAACCAAAGAAAACCAATAGTGTCCATGGACTAGTAAAGGGGACTCTAAAGCCACACTGCTGAGTGGCCGCTGAGCCGGGGAGAGGATCAGTGCCTCCAGACATGGCCTTTCCCATGGGGTTGGAAGCTAAGACAGTCCAGGTATACAGATCAGGACCTGGGCCTGCATATATTAGGGTCTATAAAATGTTCCATAGTCTGTGAGCTTGCCTGGGGAATGTCCTCTTTCCAGGACCTCAGATGGAGAGTGGGGTATTAAGCAGAGTAAAATATCTCTAAGTATCAAAACCTCAGACCTGCACTGCCCAAGGCTGCAGAATACAAATTATATACTCCATCTTATCCTGGAAGCCAGGGATAGATAAGCCACAAATCCACGATGCCTCAAGGTAGACACTTAAGTATAGATAAGAACAAAGTGAAGGGACTGGAGATGGCTCAGTGGTAACAGCACACTTCCTGCTTGTCGAGGGGACCAGAGTTCAGTTTGGTTCCTAGCGCCCATATCAGGTGGCTCACCACTGCTCATGACTCCAGCTCTGTAGAACTCAGGGAGCTCTTCTGGCCTCTGTAAGTACTCATCCACCCACCTACACACACATACACACACTCACACACTCACCACAAGTAATGGTAATAATTGTAACAACAATAATACAGTTGCTTGAAAAAGCACACTAAAACAAAAATAAATATAGACAACATCAGTTACGAGAATAAATTACCACCAAGTTTTATATCTCATCTGCAAAAGTACAGGTATAAAAGACATCAAACTGTTATGACCAGCCACCTCCAAATTCTCCGTATTATCAGAATCAGAGACTACGGGAGACACAGTCCAGGTCAGGCCAGAGAGTTTGTATCTAAGGTTGGGATCCCAGAGACATCAGGGGAAGTTGATAAACCTAAATCTTCATGCCTTGTAGTTCACAGGATTGCCTCACTGAGAAAAACCTACCCTTTTATGTAGACACTGAGAACTGGAGGACTGAGGGTGCCGAGGAGATGGCTCTCTGTTGAAAGTGCTTGCCGTGTAAGGAGGACAACCTGAGTTCAGATCCCAGGCGTCTACATAAAGAGCAGGGCACAGTGCCACATGCCTGTCATCCCAGACTTGAGGGCTGGAGTCAGCCAGTGTAGCAGACAGTGAGAGATATAGGTTCAGTGAGAGACTCTGTCTTAAAAATAAATAAATAAAGTGGAGAGCGACTGAGGAAAGCATCTGAAACCCACCTCGTACCTCCATGCCTGCAGACACACAAAAGACTTTGCTACTAGACAGGAGGCTTGTGGCGCGGATCTGTCCGCTCTTGGAACTTCTCCACATAGCGAAAGACAACCTAAAGTAAATGGTCTGCGGTTGCAACCATGAGCGTGCTCTTTAACATTCAGTGAAAAAACAGAAATACAAGAAGGCAGTAGTTTTACAGCCAAACAGGAAGGTCTGAACAAACCCAAACAGGGAAGTCTGAAAAGACACCGTGCACACACTAGTAAAAAAAAAAAAAAAAAAAACTACAGCTTCAGCAGCAGTGAGCCCTGAGGTGAGGAGCCACAGAAGGAACAGAGGCGAAGCTTATGAAATGAGAGCAGCCTCCAGGAAGATGTGATAGGCGTGCGTTTGTATGCCCCTGGCAGCATGAGCTCTGCGTTTAGAAGCAAAACGGTCTGAGCTATGAGGAGAGAAACTGCATCCGAAGTCCTGCGGGGAGCAGTGTCTCCTTCTAAGGCTTGTTAAGAACATGGCTGAGAAGTGAATGGAATGGAGAACAGACACTGTAGACTTTTATATCCTGGCTAATCCCTTTAAAAAAAGAAAACCTGAGTGTATTTTTGTGTGTGTCAGTAAAGGCATGTGCATGACATAGCATGTCCCTGGAGGTCGGAGGTCAACCTCATGGGTCAGTCCTTGTTGTATGACAAAACTTTTCCTGGAGAGATACAACATGTCTATTCACCCCAGTGAGGGAGCCCACAGCAGACCCCAAAGTACAAATACTACCAAAGTTCAACTTGGTGAATCAATGAGTCTTATTGGGGTCACTTTTAATAAAAGCTGAGCTTTTATTACTTATACTGTCAGAGAGGGGCTTAGTGAATCTGGTCAGTTTTAGGAACTTCCTGCAGCTATTTCGAGTTGTTTACCTTCCTGTTTCAGGAGCTTCCTTGCCAGGATGGAATATTTCAGTCTCTAAGGAAACCATTAAACAGTTCCATCCTTACCCTTTGAGACAGTCTCTTGTTTGTCTTTGTCACTGCATACACTGGGCTAACCTGCTTACAAGCTTCCAGGACTCTGCCATCTCCACCTTCCATCCCACCAGAGTTATGCTGGGATTATGAATGTGCTACTATATCTGGCTGTATGTATGTTCTGAGGAGTCAAACCCAGGTCTTCAATGATTGTACAGCCAGCACTCCCCCTGCCCACGTCCCTGCCCCAGCTCTTTCCATGTCCTTTTCAAGCACACATGCTTGATTGATGCCGTGC